CTTCCCCCGCCCCCCCCCCCCCCCCTTCCAGGGGCTCAGTAACGCTTCCTCATTCCCCAGCCTTATCGGGGCACACAGCATGTTGGGAGGAGCATAGGCGTGTCTTTTCCTCGAGGCACTCCTCTCCAAGATGGTCATGTCATATGATCACCACAGATATTACCACCGTATTGGACAACTGCCTACCACCGGCATCAGCCTTCCTATCCTAGACACTGGTCACCTTGCTGTTACAGATCCTCTCATCCACAGCGATATGCTCCTTCTCCTGTGCCTACTCATGGACAACACTCTCCACCTCATATTTCTTCATCTCCACCACACTATTCGGAACCAGAAGAGGGTCAGTTATCAGAACCTGATGATCAGCAGCCCGATACTTCCCCTACAGACCAGTCTTCCTCCTCTCCAGACGAAGCCGTCATCCTGGGGGACGCGTCCCCTACGGATGATCTTAAACAGTTCCAACAATTGTTCAAAAGGGTGGCCACTAGCCAGGAAGTCTAACTTAAGTTCAGGAGGAGTAGTACCGTCTCCTCAAAAACCTCCAACCCTCCCAACGAGCCAAGATCACATTCCCAATTGATGAGGCCTTTATGGAGGCTGCCGAGGAGATCTAGCAGACCCCAGCCTCTGCCCTGCCGACCAATAAGAGAGCAGACAAAAAGTATTTTGTGCTGGCTAAGAGTATGGAATTTTTATTTTTCTCAGCCTGATTCCTTAGTCGTGGATGCAGCCCAACACAGGTCCAAGACACAGCATAAGAATGCTGCAGCTGAAAAAGAAAGCAAGCGCATGGACCTTTTCGTCAGGAAAATATATTCCTCCTCAATGCTATTATTGCGCATCACCAATTATGCCATTCTCCTGTCTAATCACGACTTTGACAATTACACCAAACTTACTGCACCAATGGAACATTTGCCGGATGCCAAGAGACCCATTTTGAAGTCCATAGTCCAGGAGGGATACGCGTCCGCTAGGACTGGACTTCAGATCGCACTAGATGTGGCAGACACAGCAGCTTGTTTTCCCCCCCAAACCATCTCATTTGCCGGATGCCAAGAGACCCATTTTGAAGTCCATAGTCCAGGAGGGATACGCGTCCGCTAGGACTGGACTTCAGATCGCACTAGATGTGGCAGACACAGCGGCTTGTTCTACCGCGATAGTCATGAGGTGAGCCTCATGGCTACAAAGTGCTGGAGTCCCATGAGAGCTTCAGACCAAAGCGGAGGAACTCCCGTTCGACATAGAGAAATTGTTTGCGGAGAAGATGGACGAGGTCCTCCACTCAAGCAAGGACTCTGGAACCACTCTTCATATCCTTGGTATGTATACACCTCCATACTGGCGCAAAAGGTACACACCATACCAGAGACGCTACGACTTCTTGCACTCAAGATACCAGCAATGCCCATTCGATCAATCCCTGACGAGACAAGGAACCCAAAAGAGGCGCATTCAAAATAACCGCACCTCTAACCAACCATCCAACAAGCAGCAAGTTTGACAGCCTGGTTGAGGGCTCACAAATTCTCCCTGTGACATACCCACTCAATCACACAGTTCCCATTTTCTACCACTGTCTCAGACCTTTTTACCATAATTGGTTGACCACCATATCCGATCGTTGGGTTCTCGAGATCGTTTCATCAGGCTACACCATCCCCTTCGTATCACTACCTCCCCATCTACCCCCATCCCTTTTCAGGGACCCTTCTCACGAGAACTTACTAAAGCAGGAAGTCCATCGACTCCTTGCCTTCGGAGCAGTAGAAAGGGTACTGACTGAGTTCAGAGGCAAAAGGCTTCTATTCCCGCTACTTCCTCATCCAGAAAAAAACTGGAGGTTGGAGACCTAGACTCAATCTTCAGAAACTCAACCGTTACCTTCGAAAGCAGTGGTTCAAAATGGTAACTCTCACAACTATAATTCCAGTGTTAGACCACAGGGATTGGTTTGCAGCCCTCAACCTCCAAGATACTTATTTCCACATCACCATCCACCTCACTCACAGGCGGTTTCTTCATTTCACAGTAGAGCACTTCCAATTCGAGTGCTGCCCTTCGGCCTTTCCTCCGCACTCAGGGTGTTCTCAAAAACACTTGTGGTAGTGGTGGCGCACCTACATCGACAGGGCATCATAATCTTCCCCTACCTCGACGACTGCCTTAGATAAAGGGTCCATCTGCATCCAAAACATCCAATATGATTCTCACAGTAAGACAGACATTCAAGTCCCTCGGTCTGCTCATCAATGACCAGAAATCCACGCTAGAGCTGACCCAAACCCTGGAGTTCATAGGGGCTCGCCTTGATTCCACCACAGCACGAGCTTATTTACCTATTCAAAGGTTCCAAGCTATACAAGACTTAGTCTTGGTACTTACTATGAGTCCTACAGCTCCAATCCTCACGTGCCTGCAGCTCATGGGTCATATGGCACGACGGCACTTTCGATGCCTGCAGCATTGGCTGGCATTTGTGTATATTCTCACAAGGCACCGCATCCATAAGCGGGTCACTCCACCATGTGCTGTAATAACTTCCCTCAAATGGCAGACCTAACCACACAACTTCCTTGCAGGAGTCCCATTCCATCAACCTCAACCATCCGTTCATATTACTACGGACACCTCCTTTATCGGTTGGGGTGCCAGTATGAACGGTTTCTCCGCTCAGGGGCGATGGA